CAATGCCATCAGCATAGGCCACACATAGCTGCTGCTGTTGCTGCTTTTGCTGCTGCTGCTGGTGCTGTTGCTGCTGCTGGTGCTACTCAAAATAGCATCATATCATCCAGGTCGCCTTATCATCATGCGATGCTGTCATCATACGACCAAACGGGCGAACCGAAGTGCACATCAGGTGCGATAGCATCCGCGATGCTGCTGCTGCGTTCCTATTGTGTAATTGATTATAATAATGATGCGGTAGCGCCACGACTATAATTTATTGAATTATTATGATTTTCGACACTGTCCGCGAATGACACTGGACTTTCAATCTCTGGGCGCAGCTTCTGTTGCCGCCCTCTGATATGATTTATGCAAAGTTCAAGTTTATTTTCGGTGCGCTTGCAATCTAAGAATTAAATCCCGCCATGCGAAATATTGACAGATCCGCATTAAATTAATCTAACATGAAACGAAAAAACTCTTAGCATTAGCAGAAAATATGAATAATTCCTAGAAAAAGTTGCAAGACACTTTTTGCCCTATGTCTGAAACATTTTATTGTACTCCTCTCTACCAGCATTATTTTGTTCATCCTCTTTTGTGCTGCCCTTTTTGTGTTCTGCTAATTGTTTGATGATTATGGAAACCACACACGCATAAACCTTTTGCCGCAGACACCTGCACCACCTTCAATGCAGTCAATGGCACTCGAGTGGCACGGTTAGTTAACTTTTGCCACCGCAGCGTAGCAACTGAACGAGTGAAGAAAGCACTGCAGCAAAGTTGTTCTAAGGAAAATCAGCAGCAGTAGCAGCAGCCCCTCCGCCCTCGCTCTCTCGGGTTCTGGGCGCTGGGTTCTGGGTTCTGTTTCTGGTCCCGCCAGGACGCGAAAACTCACTCAAAATAAATGCGCAATTAATTTTCATGGTAAAAACTCGACAGGAACTTGTACTAAAGGTTGAGTGGAGCTGTGCTGAGCTGTGGCGTGGCATTGGTAGTGGTAGTGGGAGTGGGAGTTGGGTAGCACGGAAATTGTTTCCTGCTACAACTTTTGCCATTCAAGGGAGAAAAATAATAATAACAAGCTGCCGCCTGCTTGCCTTGGTTCGTTCTTCTGGCCAAAAGTCCATAGAACTTTGCTTAGAACGGATGCAGCGAAGAAGAAAAAAAAAAAAAGGAATCGAAGGACTTGTAATGAAAGCAGCAACCAAAGTAAATAGCAGCAACAACAACAAAATTCTTTTCAATACAAAACAAGCGTGTGAAATATTTATCTACGTATTATATAAAGAAGAACGCGAGTGTATAGAATATCAGATATCCTTTGAGCAGGGGTTTTTTATGACTTAACTATTTATAGCCGGTACTGAAAGGAGCTAATAGGGAGCTAATGCAAGTAACAGCGCGAAGAAAGTGTTTTAGATCCCAAAAAGTATATATATTCTTGAGCTAAGTCAATATAGTAATACCCGCCTGCTTTAGTATTAAAAAGAAGGAATATATCCACTAGATTCCTGAGACGCATTATAATTGTAGCCTTAAAAATTAGAGAAAAAAGAGAAAAAATCTTATGGGCTCATGTCCTAAGTAGTATCTTTTAACACCTGGCTTTCGGAGATCACAGTGTCGTTTCACGTGTGCCGCAGCTACTCCAAATGTTACCACATTCTATTACATTCTATTTTTACTTCATTATTATTTATTTTCTTTCCACAAATTCTTTGGTTAATAGTAGCATTGCTTGAATGAAAATGCTCCTGCTTTCGTGCTTTGGCACTAAATTGAAACTTTTACAAATTATTGTGTGTACTTTCTGTACTTTTAATTTTCTTGCTGAATGCTGTGTTTGGGGGGGGGGGGCTGCTGCAATCTTAATTTATTGTATATTTTGCGTGTGGAGGAGAGAAGGAGTGCAGAGAGCTTTGCTGAGTGAATATAAAAATGAAATCAAAATATGCAGCGGCCGCAAATGAGCAAAGTTTTCTTTACAGTTCCGTTTTGTTCCTTTTTATTTTGTTTGTTGTTGTTGCTTTATTTTTTGTTTGTTTGTTTTTGTTTGGCCAACTTCAGCGCCAAAGCTGCAGAATTTATTGCTTTTGAAATGCGGTTGCGCATAAATGTGCAAAGCAGCAGCAACAACAATTTCAATAGAAGGGTGGAGGCGAATGGCAAATAGGAGCAGGAAAAACTGTAACAAGCTGCGGTTGGGAATGAAGTCGGCGCTCCGCTTTCGCACAGAACGTAAATGAAATGAAGAAATGAAATGAAAAATCCTCACATAATTGCAAATGCGTGAGATATTTGCCAAATGGTGAAATTATGAAAATGAAATGGTGGCAGCAACCTTTACCCCAGGGCGCAAAATCTTTTGGGTCTCTCTCTCTCGCTCTCTCCCTTCCTCTCCCTGTCGGTTTATTTGGGTTTTCGTATTTATTTTTTAAGTATTCAACTCAGGTTTCGGGCCTTAGAGGCATTTTGACGCCTCGTTTTTGGGGTTCGCCTAACTATTACTTTGATGACTCGCCAACTTGGGGTAACTTTTTTGCTTTTTTGGCATCGGAAATGACTTTGATGGGGGGCATTTCTACGTGCATATATACTATGTATGCTATACAATATATTTTTGGCATTTATTTTTATTTTAATCAAAATACTGACCTTCAGCTCAAGTTCTTATCTGCCCTTGGGGGCCATACGAACTATCTGTGACACTAGACAAACCAGAGCCAAGCAACTATTTAATATTCGAATATAACATATAATTTATTTTCAGATTAGTCAATTAGAATGTTTGACAGCTTGGGTCAGTGACCATGCTGTAAACCATAAATATTCGTTAATTAATTAAAGTCATTAAATGAATGAATTTCAATCAATTCAAGTGTTTAAGAATTTATTCATTTCGCTGAAGCCTTGCATTTATTTTATATTATTTGATATTTGAGACAATTTAATTGACAACTAATTAAATCATTTAACTTTAAATATGAGATTTATTATTATATTTTCAGTATGTTATGTGGCAAAGAAGGAAAGTTATAGCGTGATTTAATTGTGTGTTAAAGAGTGTTTTATTTTCATAACTAAGTGGCTTGGCATTGTAGTCTTATCTGGGGGTCAAGTACATATGGTTTGATTAAGTCTGTGCCAAGAAGATAACGGAACAAGAAGTGTGCGTGGAAAGTTTCAATTATTTTCCTTTGCTGGAAGTATTTTTTGCATTTATTTTGCGGCATCGTTTTGTCAAAGAATATTCCGTACTAATATGTACTCGCAATTGCGCCAATATTATAATCTCTCTCACAAATGAATTCACAAAGTAATTTCAAATTCTCTACAGAGACCAGAGACCTAATGCAAACACAGACCGAAAAGGGCTTTAAATCAACATCAAACATTCATTGTTTGATGGAAGTCCACAAGTATAAAGTGCATGAATATTTCAAATTTGCACTTCTACCCTCTCATCCCCCTGACTTGCCCATTCGACTTCCCACAAACGCAGCCCACATAATTGAGTGCTCTTTTATTCAACATGCAAAATTAATGGCCAAGCCTCTACATGAATACAATAAAACTATTAATCAATAAGCGCTCATATGCCACACCGACCGAAAGGGAGTCTGAAGTGGCAACCAAGGGTTAGGGGGGACTAGTAAAAAAATCGTGAAAGAAAAAGAACAAAACTTTTGCCCACTTTATAAATTTAATGGAGTTTGCCAAAGCAGCGCACAGAAATTATATTTTAAAACTTTTTCCATCCGCATGAGCAATGAGCAGTACAATATATTGTATACACTTCCCTTGCCGGGGGGTTTTGGTATTAGGTATTTTTCGCATATTAAGTGCGGTCTACTTAGAAAAGTTCTGCAGATTAGAAGCCTTCTGCGGAAACAATTATTAATAATCCAGTAAGCTTTTCTGTCTTGCGTTTAATTTGGAGAACTCTGAGGATTGATATGCAATTATCCCTCATTGAAAAATTCTTTCTATAAATTTTGTAAATTGTAAAGCCACATTTCTGATTTCTCATGGGTATGTAGGGCTTCGACCCCCAGCATTCCCTGCCGACTCTTTGCTCATTTCCCTTTCTTTTCTTTTTTTTTTTTTAGAAGCCTGTCGGAACTGGCTTTAGCTTGGCCAAAGATTCCAGAGAAAGTCCGCAGCTGGAAGCGGGTGTGGAAAAAAAAATGTGTACGAGTATATTCCCAGCAGGGGGTGGCCTGGGAGTGGGGGGCCAAAAGTACAATAGCGCAAAGTTTCAAGTGGACTCGCATGTTGTGGATAGTAAAGAAGAAGGCAGGGGAGAGGGGTGGGAGTGGCGGGGTACGCTGGTCGTTGGCATCTGTTCAGCGTTGTGGCACATATTCCACTTTTGTCTTTTATTGCCTGTTGTTGGACTCTCTGCCGCTTGTAGCACAGCTTGGCTCCATGGGCACCCCACCCACTGTACCCTTACCCCAGTCCATTTCACAGCCAGCTAGTACCAGAGCAGAGCATTTCATTGTTTTAAAACAATGTTAACCCCCCCCTTGGTGGCGCTGCTGACTTTGATTTGCCATCCCGTTCGCACGCCCTTTTTATATTGTAGTCGGGAAGAATCGCTTTAATCTGTCTTAAAGCTTTCAAATATTTTCATTAAAAGTATCAAACATCAAAAGTTCTATGTGAAAGCTTTCTTAGCTTTCGGCAGCTCGTGATCTTAGCAGCTGATAATAAAACGAGTTGTTGCCGCTTTGATCGCAACATCCTCGATAGTATAGTGGCATCCAGCGTCGATCTTCCTTTACGGAATCCATACTGGTTGGTCGATAGGCCGCCGGCGTCCTCTATGGCATCGCTTAGCCTGCGCGCAATAAGTTTTTCAAACGCCTTCCCCGAGTTGTCCGGAAGACAAATTACATATTATTATATATACATATACATATGTATTGCAAGAGTAATCGCATTTTTATTATCAAGAACAAAATGTATTGTAGTGGTGCTTTTATTTTGTTCGCAACTGTCGAGTATGAACATTCCTATTGAATTCATTTGATTGTAAGCTTTTGCGTTGAGCGGTTGTACATCTTAAACAATTCACAGAATGTCCACAAAGTCCGCGTCGCTCCTCTTGTTTATGTTAATTGTTTTGCATCTGCAGACATCTTTTGCAAGCGATTCGGTGAGTGGAAATTCAAGATGAATTCTGGCATAGTCAACTGGAGCTTCTTTCTAACAGATCGCCACATTGTCGATTCAGAGCTCTGAAAGTCAGTGCGGTGGATATTGCTTTTTTGTCCTGAAGCCTCTTCTGGACCACGTTGCAGCCAATCAGGAGCGGTGGAATGCCTGCGACGCCAAACTGGACAGGACGGAGAGCCAGCTGGTAGTCCTAACAGGAAAAATTGTCCAAAATAGAAGCGGAAAAGGCTGCTGAGGGAAAACTGGTGGAGAAGCCGAAAGTAAAGCAACTAGATTCCTTCGTGCAGATCGGCTCCAGGTTCTTCTACATCGAGCAGAATCACATAGTCAGCTGGTTTTCCGCTACGTGTATATGCCGTCAGATGGGTGGCTATCTGGCGAGTCCGAGAAGCGAGGAAGAGTGGAATGGCATTAAGGAAAAGCTCACACAAAACCGAGTTTATTGGCTTGGAATTTCTGACTTGGCCAATGAGGGCTCGTATCTGTCGCAGGCCACAGGAAATTTGGCACCTTTTCTAAAGTGGAAATCTGGTGAGCCCAATGATCAATTAAATAATGAGAATTGTGTGGAAGTTCGACCCGAAATGAATGACAACTATTGTACATTAAAGAATTATTTCATTTGCGAGGCAGGCGATGAATCATAATAAATATCAAACCTAAAAGTAAAACCAACAGCTTCCGACATCTGATAAGAGGATCCACTGTTTCTCGTGCTTTTGCTTATGAAATGAAACGCAAAGTAAGTGAAAATGAAATGAGCACAGCAAAAAAGCTTTAAGATTAGGCTCCGAATAGAATAGAATACTATACGTATGATGCAATGGCATGGGCATATCCCCGGTAACAGTGAATCAACAATTGGGTTTTTTCAGGAATATATTTAATTCAAACGTCAAAAGACCAACAAAATCCAAACTATGCATCTCTGATTTATTTGTAGTCATAGTATATCAAGATCACCTCTGGTATCAAGTGTTATTCCTGGTATTGGAAGTCATACCAAATCGCATTCTTATCACGCGGCAATATTTCGCAATGACAAATTTTTGTTATTTTGCACTGGTCCAATTTTCTTCATTGACAAAGGCGAATTAAAAGTCTTGTGTTTTTTGTTGCGACTTTTTTTCTTCGAGTACTTTCCGACATAAGCTGTACTAACACTTGCAGAAGAATGTCTAACCGGTACAATCTGGTTCATATAAATAATAGAGAGCTAAGTTGTAAACATAGAAATCTCATAATGGCCTAACTATTATGAATATTTTTTCTCTAAGTGCAATCACGCTTTGAGTTCTCTAATATAATGTCGTATCTGTATGTAGCCTGGAAAACTTTCAATCGCTGATAATTTCAAACAGTGAAAATCCGCTGCCTATAAAAGGCATGGCATGAGTTCAGCAATTACAATTCGAAATCATTTCTTTCTGATCTGTTGCCTTGTGCTATTGCACATTTTGAGTAACTTATAGAATGTTCAAGCTTGTGTCTCTGCTCCTGTGCATGTGGATTGCTGTGCATCTGCAAGGATCCTTGACAAGTGATTCGGTGAGTGGAAATTCTGGACGGCTGGACAGGGTGGAGAATCAGATGGCAGTGCTGCAGTCGCAGCAGTCGGGAGGCTCGGGGAACTTCTTGAATATCGGTTCAAAGTACTTCTACATTGAGGAGAATCAAAAAGTCAACTGGCATTCCGCATTGAATATATGCACTAACATGGGTGGCCATCTGGCGGATCCGGAAAACCAACAAGAACTGAATTCCATTTTGCAAAGACTCATCCGCGGCCGTCACTATTGGCTGGGCATCTCCGACCTGGCCAATGAGGGCTTGTTTCGGGCGCAGAATACTGGAAGGAGGGCGACTTTCCTCAAGTGGGTTTATGGTGAACCAAACAATTATGGAAACTATGAACATTGCGTAGAGCTTAAGTCACAACAAAACAGGCCATTCCTAATGAACGACGCCCCATGTTGGCTCAATTCGTATTTTATTTGCGAGACTGGCGCACCGAATAATGATGAATAAATATTGTAACACCAGTGTTCGTTGCATGCCACTAGCATCCGGAAATATATATGTAGTATTTAATTGTGAGAATTTTACTTATCAGTGATTCACCGAGAAAAGTGATTAAAAGTACAAATCACACATAGCAAATGAAATTATTCATTTTCGGCGTCAACTGGAACCTTCTGACCGTCTGTCAGACATTTAATTGATACGGTGATCAGAGTAAATGAACATACACATAAGCATACCCTCTCCTAGGGTATTTAATATGTATATACAAAATAATTTTAATGACGTTGCAGCGTATATTTGTGAAATGCATTAATAAATTACTTTAAGCAAATCGCACATGAATCCGACTGAGTGCCAGTGGCATTAAATTTTTACTGTTTTTTGGATGCGCGTTGACTTCTTGGCAATGAACACCAAATTTTGTCCGCGCCCCTCATTGGCAGTCGTCTCGTTGTCGTCCTCCTCTTCATCCTCCTGATCGTCCTCGGCGTCGGCGTCAGGCGTCAACCTATCCCGGTTGGTGGCCGCCAGCAAAGCCGACTCCAGGTCATAGTAATCCTCGTTGACCAGACTGTAGCCACGCTTGACCTCCTCGACCGCAATGCTGTACTCGTCGAGATAGTTGTCGCCGAAGCTGATCGTGCGACCCATACGCATATAGGGTCCCGTGTCGTCGGTCATCGGTGGCCAGGCGGGCAGACCCGGGGCCACAGGTACTCCCGTCTTGGCGAAGGACGTCCACAGGGCCACCATGCGCCTGGCTACCTTGATGTCACGGTTGGAGTTGAGCATCTGGAAGCGTGGCCAGGGGAAAAGGTAGAGGTTGTCGTCGGTCAGCGACACGCCCATGTCGAAGGGCACAAATGAAGCCTCCTCATCGCTGGTGCCATACCGGTTCATCTCCCCCTCGTAGTCAAAGGTGTACAGATAGGTGTTGTTGGGCAGCTTCTTGGCATTGGCCTGAAGCACCAAGAGCACGGGATTCTTCAGCGAAATCGTGCTGCACAGCTACATTCGGTAATAATTAGTGTTGGCATTCGGGTAGGTTAATTTTCTACTCACATCGATCAGTCCTGGGGTGAGACGTTTGAAGCTGCCGTTCTTGATGTCCTCGGCACTGAAGATCTCCTCGTCGGCAAACTCACTCCAGGAGCCAGTGGGATCCGCCCCATTGGCCTGCTCAATAATGGTCTCAATGTACTGCCGTCCAGTCAGCTTTTCATCCAGAATTGTTTCGTTGAAGCTGTCCGCAAATATGTCTGCCACGAGAATGGGAATGGGAATTCAGTCGCAAGATTATACCAGTGTGGCAGTGTCCGTGTCTCCACTCACCTCTCAGTATGAAGGTACCGCCATGCTTGACGCTGCCACCCATTGTGGGATAGGCCTGGAACTTCTCGGCAGCCAGCAGACGTCCGGGATGCTCCGGCAGAATGCCGGATGGTCCGCCGATGACCAGCTGGACCCCACCATAGGCGCCGCCGCTCAGCGATGGCTTGTCCTCGCCATGGATGCTGAAGGCAGCCAACAGCATAGTGGCGTTGAGCCGCATTAGGCACTTGTTCAGCGACTCCACCTTGGCCAGCTGCTTGCAGCCGGCGATGCGAGCAATGTCCTTGGTGGCTGCCAGCGGGGTGTCTGTGATAAAGGCGGGCGACAGCGCCGTGCCCGACTGATAGATGACTCGGTGGAAGAGACCCGCCGGCACGGCCGGGCTCAGGGTTAGCACGTTGACAAGTGCAGCACCGCCCACCTGGCCGAAGAGAGTGACCCGCTGTGGATCGCCACCGAAGGAGCCAATGTGCTTCTGCACCCACTTGAGGGCCAGGATGATATCGCTGACGGCCGCGTTTCCAGGCATGTCGTCACTCATGGTAGACAGGAAGCCGAATGGCCCCAGGCGGTACCGCACCGAAACCAGCACCACATCCTGCTCCAGCAGATAGCCAGGAGCGGCCTCCACGGAATCGCCGTCGTAGAAGAAGTCGCCATGGATATACACCATAACTGGCGCGAGATCTCCCTCCATCTGGAAACGGCAGGGAGAGCCTAAATCCATCAGGAATTTTCACTTGCGAAGATTTTCACTTACCGCTTTGGTGCTGATGGTGAGGCGAAGACAGTCCTCGACATCGAAGCCATTCTCCTCCAATTTGGCGTACTTGAGCAGATCCTGTATGGACGGGCAACCGGGGTGGTGACGATGGGCGGGAAGAACGCCTCTCCAGGGCGATGCCGGTTCCGCTGCCTAAAGCCAATCAAAAGCAAAGAAGAGTCAATAAATTTCAGTTTAATCTCAAATCTGTTGGTTTTAATCTACATATGTATGTAGTTTGTATTTTTAGCTCCCTCGACAACGGATGTACTACGAGTATTAGATTAATTTACTCTTTGCTTGGTCACAATTTGTATGCAACCATAAGTTGAAGGTTCTTTCGGACAGTTTTTGCCGCTTTGATCGCCACATCCTCGATAGTATAGTGGTCAGTATCCCCGCCTGTCACGCGGGAGACCGGGGTTCAATTCCCCGTCGGGGAGAGATGTGAAAATCTTTTTTTTCTCTCTTTTTTTCCTTTTCAAACGTTTATTTTCTATTTCAAGTGTATTTGTGCATGCCAACCCTTTTTTCTTTCACACAATACCCTTCAAAATTGCGATGAAAGCAATAACAATATATCTTTTTGTGCTAGAAATAAGAATAAATTGTTTTCCTTAACCCCCCCCTCCCTTCTGTTTGCCCACCACCGAAAGCAGTCGACAAACAAATTAAGGTGAAACTAATAAATTTTCAACACTTAACAAAATGCAAACACAAACCGAAAACCACCCAACTTTTGGCCCACGCCACCGCCCCCAAATGCCAGGGTTCCCATATACACGCCCATATGCCCCAAAGGCACTTGAAAATGTCTGGGAGTGTGCTCCCTCCTCGTCGTCGTCGTTGGTTTTATTTTTGTTTTTTGCTGTTTTGCTGGCTGGAGCACATGGCGAACCTTAACAAAGTTTCACTTGAAAATTAAGTTGCCTTCCTGGCTACTGTGCGAATTCAATAAATTTTCCTCAGGCAATATGTGCGTGTGTGTGTGTGTGTGTGTTTGAAAAAGCCAAAGAGAAAGAGAAAGAGTGGAGAGAAAACAGGGAAAACAGCAACAGAAACATGAAAAGCTAGAGCCAGAGAAGAGAAAAGTTTGTACAGGTTCTGCAATATGAAGACCACAGAACGGAACCCAAAAACAACACTCACACTCACACACGACCCCCGTATCCCCATCTACTCCTGGCATAAAATATTTAACGGCCAGGGGGGCTCTCCCCCCTATTTTTTTTGGAAACAGTAGAATTTCAGGCAGTGGCAAATGCAGACGAAGAGGAAGAAGTGAAAAAGTGCGTCCCAAAAAAATGTTTTTCTTTCTGGTCTGCAGCAAACAATAAAAGTTCTTAGCCCCTCTCTACTCTACCCATTTTGTGCCATTTGCAGCCTGTGATGAAATGCAAACGACACATACAAGCACAGACACAGACACCTGCGGCCAGGGTTGCCAAATATACACAAAAAAAAAAAACAAAAAACAATACCATATCGAAGCGATCCGAATCTGGGTTACAAACTTTTTCAAATTGCATTTTTTTTACTCGTTTGCCTCAAAGTGAATTTATGCCAACGCGAATATTTCCATTGATTTTGGTCTTCTTTATTGGTATTTTCTGCAGCAACCCACCCAAGAGAAAAAAAAACTCCCACTGTTCGCATCTTAAAATGTTGTTACAAACGATATTTTGTTTGTTTCTTTACCTCCACTGCACTCCAATCGACTCTCTACCACTTCGTTGTTCATGCCACTGGCAAATAAATTGCTGGCATGATAAAAAAACACACTCCCAAAACTGCAGACAAAAAAAAAAAAAAGAGAGCAAAGAACTGCAGCAAAAAACCAACCAAAAAATAGCAATATGCACACAAAGAAGAGGACAATGAATCGGCACTGTAGTATTCTGTTCCATTGGGTGGCCCAATGCCGAGGACGAGTACCAGTACCATTCGATTATTCATTTCGGCTGACAGCAGTCGCCAGGGCAACCCACAGCCAATGCTGTTTGCCATTGCCGTTGCGGGATGTGCATGTGCATTACTTCAAATCGACTCCTAATGGCTGTTCAAATTGAAAACTAATCAGGGAATTGAATGAGTTGCCATGAAATTGGGGTCGTCGTGCAAATACGACGAGAGGCAGCTCTCGAAACTGTCTGCCATAGTACTATGCTAATAAAAATCAATACCCAATGCAAAAGTAAAAGTTCTGCTAAAAATTAAAACCAGAGGAAAATGTAATTGATATTATTTGAGTATATGAAATCAAAGAGATGATGGAATAAATAGAAAATCAAATTAAATTGAACATATACATATGTAAATGCCGTAACATAGATTGAAATATTTCGTAATATAAATCTCTATTTTGTGCTATATTTTTCTTTGCCGAAACAACAAAAAACTAATTCAATATTCGTTTTTGTTTCTTTGCAGGTGTGTATGAGTAAATCTCTCCAACTTATGGTTGCAGCTATAAAAACTAGAAAGCCTAAGTATCCTTCCTTCCCAGAATCCGATAACCTATAAAGCTTAAGACTTTTCAGCGAATTACTCTCCAGTTGCTTTATGGACTTTCAGTTTTCAATTCATCAAGCGTCCCACCGCTCCGCACAAACGAACTGCGTTTCCAAGGTGAAAAGTATTGAAATATTTGCCTTTGACATGATAGAGCAAAACGAGTAGGAAAGTGCAGACTTCACCTTTTGCTGAGCATCTTCGTCATTCCCTCATCATGTCCACATGCCGCTCCGTCCGTCCGTCCGTCCGTCCGTCCGTCCTTCCTTCTTTCTTATCATTGTCTTTGTACGTTTTCTCTGGCCCTGAGGCACTTTTATCTTTACTCTCAGTTTACTTTATATCTTTTGTGCTCTTTTATATCTTTTGTATTTCTGCTACGTGCGCCGTTCGTTCGCTTGTTTTGCGCTTCCCTTTTTCAGGGCAAAATTATAAAAGCTTCTGCCTCCTTTACGGTTCT